TACTCCGTTGGCCACTGAACCCTTAAAATGCAAGAAATGTATCTTATTCAACACTAACGTCCCAGTACCTGGCACACCATCTGGCACTCAACAAATGTCTGGTGTGTAAAAGGATGTGCCCAACATATTGTCTGACTCATTAATAAATTCTGATTATTATTAACTTCCATTTAAATAGAAATGTCAGTTTCATGAACGTGGCTGATGGGGAAAGAAGATTTGAACAATGTTTATGAGCTTTTAATGTAATTTTTATTGAGTTTTGTATTCTAATACATTAATAAAAGAAGTGAAGAATAATACTGGAATGCTTTATCTCCCAACATTTTTCAAATTGGCTTTTTTCTTTCAATAAGATGCTTGGGATAAGTTAATAATTTCTGTTCTCCCAGAAAAGGTCCATCTATTTTTCATACAATGACCTAAGCCCTGTTTTATAAAAATATATTTGCATATACAGCCTGTGTATATGTTTATGCAATCATATTTGGACTTTCCAAAACGCAGTACTGGCAATCACAAAGTGATTTTTAAAGAATACAATAACTTCTGCAACATCCTTTATTTTAAGAAGTAAAATTGTGGCATTTGTTTCTTAGCCTAAACTTACCCTGAAGATAAGCTTGCCCTAAGAGCAGAAGCATTCCACTAAATAAATTCCAGTTTTGGAACTGGCAATTGTGATAGTACCAAACTAAGTAAGTATTGGTCTATTTGTCCCAGTAGCTGCTCCATATTTTGAGAACATAACTGAAGGGAAAAATGAATGCTACTGAAAACTAATGAATGGGAAAAAAATTCATTAGAGCCTCTCGGTGGACGATATTTGGTTACTCTTTCATAAATATCAGAATCAAAGAATAGCAGAATTCCACTCTAGCGATCAGTTAGATATACTCTGAAGCATAATTTCTATCTATGACATTTTTCTCAAGCTGCCATTCATTAATTTCGTGGCGAATGCTCTACTGATGGCACACAAATATATGAATGGGCATTCACTTGTCCAACCAACACTTACTGAGCCCGGAGATTTAACATTATCTCAACTAGTTTTCATTTTGGTTATAGGTATTATCATCTCAGTTAATTTTTTAAAAAGTGAATGTGATAAAGAAAATGACATAGAAAAGTATAAAGTGAAAAATGAATGCCTCCTACCACCCTTCCTTAGCCTCTAATCATTTTCCCCCAATCTAACTCTAGTTCTCAGTTTTTAAGCATTTATTTCTATAAACAGAAGTCTGCTAATTATTTACACAATGAAATCTTACTAAAATAATTTTCTGCATCTTTAAAGAAATACTTTAATACTTTAGTACTGTGCAAGTATTTCCACAGTTCCATATAAATATCTAAGTACAGGTGACCCCGGAACAATCCATGGGGCGCCACTAGCCACACAGTCAAAAATCCAAATACGACTTGTCAGAAAATGCGGATTTCCAACCCCACGGTTAACTGAGAAGTATCTGCTTGTAAGTGGACCACACACTTCAAACCCACACTGTTCAAGGGTCAACTATACTTCTAATGTCTGCAAAATATGCACAAGTTCACTATATAGTGTAGGTGTACTTATCTGACCAGCCTCCATTATCTTTTAGACCCCGTTTCTTGTTTTGCTATTACGACCATTGTGGTATATTGCTGAAGCAACGAACGTGAGTTTGAGTGTTGACAGATATTGTCAAATTATTTCCAAAGAGTTAGTACCAAATTATACTCTCTCCAGAGTTATAAGAGAATGCCTAATGCCCCCCGTCTTCTCAGGACCCTTCCCACTCTTACATATGAAGGAGCTCCAACCGTTTATATTACGCAACTTGTATTATCAACGGTTACCTTATTAAAAATTAAAATTGAGAAATTAAAAAGTTTTATTTGTTTAAATGAATACGATAACCCTAATACAGATTACTATAAATAACATTTTTATAATAAAAAACTATAATCTGAACTCTCGACTGAAGTTCATAAAGTAATCTATCCAAAATAAACAAAAATTCGTGCGAACATCGTTGCTTTACATTTTTTTTTTTGCAAATTATTGAAATGTCTGCCTTAAAAGAAGACAGTTAAATTTTCCTATCTGCTTCTGCATTTCATGTGTTGTAATACGTTGTTTTGCTTGAAAGAGACTAAGAAAATTGGCTTTTCATGGCAGATGTAGCGGTCTCCTCTTATCCATGTTCTTGCTTTCCATGGTTTTCCGTTCCCTGTGGTCAACCATGATCCAAAAATATTAAATAAAAAATTCCAAAACTAAATGATTCATCAGTTTTAAATCGCATGCCATTCCAAGTAGCGTGACAAACTCTCATGCCATCCTGCCCAGGACGTGACTCATCCTTCTGTCCAGCATCTCTGCTCTGCATGTGCTCCCCGCCCCTTACTCACTCAGTAGGCAACTGTGTTATCAGATAGACTGTTGTGTTAATCGAGTTCTCATGTTTGAGTCGCCCTTATTTTACTGAACGATGGCCCCAAAGTGCGAGAGCAGTGATCCTGGCAACTCGGATGTGTCACAGAGAAGGCCTAAAGTGCCTCCTTTAACTGAAAAGGTGAGTACGATATAATATGACATTTCGAGGGAGAGACCAAATACATGTAACTTTTATTAGAGTATATTTTATAGTTGTTCTATTTTATCATTAGTTTTTATTATTATTAGTTTTTATTACTATTAGTCGTTAATCTCTCATTATACCTAACCTATATTAAACTTTATCATAGGTGTATATGTGTAGGAAAAGACAGCAGACATAGGGGTCAGTACTTTCCACAGTGACAGGGTGACAGGCACCCATCACATCCAGCGTAATTACTTATATCAAAATCTATTAATTTGAGGTACAATCATATTAGGCTTTGAATAGATCTTTACCTGTGCAGGATTTTGTAACATCATGTCCTGGCCATTTAGAAAATACTAAGTTATATGGATATTCCAAACATGGTCTTTTTCATTATATGATATTTGAAAATCCCATTTATCTCACCACCAATCTGTTCAGAAGAGTCTCAGTACTGAGAAAGTATCAAGCTCATGGTAGAAGACATGAGTTTTCTAAAATTCCAAATATAGCTAAAAAGCTTAATTCTATCACTGGGAACAAATACTATTAGTTCTTTTCCTTGAAGTGATGGGCTCGCTTCATTAATTTTAAAGGAGATATCTGCCGAAAGCCAACGCCTAAATAACTATACTTGGTCAGTGACTCTTTCAAGTAAAAATTGTATTGCAAGTGAAAACCTTGGCTAGTTCAGCTAGAAACTCAAAAACAAGAACTTTCCTGAAGACAGCAACTGTACCTCAAAATGTAGCAAAGCTGATTTATACTCAGCTCCCAGTTCATCACAAAGTATTAAAAAGACATAGTACCTAAAGGTTGACATTTCATCAAATTAGTGACTTAGCTCCAATCAGGGACATTCTTAAGTGAAACTGGCATGTATTTTTTTTCTGCCAGCGTACCACAGAAATAAAACAATTGCTACTAGTTCAACTCAGTGCCTTGCTTTGTCCTCAGATACCAGTTTTCCCATTACTGCTTTTGAACTATCAACGAAACTTTGTGGGAAAAAAGGTAAATCACGTCTTAGCATCCTTACGAAATAGCTTTGACTTCACAGACTTCTTAAACGGGTCTGGGGGATCCCCAAAGGGTCTGAAGACCACGCCTGGAAAACTGCTGCCTATATCATCTCCATTTCGAAGGTGAGGAAACTGATGTAACCTACCCGGAGACCAGCGTTTCGGAAGTACAGTTGCAATCTTGAGGAAAAACACCTGTGCTGCTGAGTTTCTAGCCGAACTAGCCACTATTTTTACCTAAAGACAAACAGTGAATCCAAAACTCAAACCCAGGCTTTATAACCCCAAGTTCTGGTCTCTGGGAGCTACGCGACACAGCTTAGGGTAGGTTCCTATCAGTTGCCAGCATTGCCGCCAAGGTCCTTTTACTGGGACTTCACACTGGCCCTTGCTTTGCCCTCTGAGATTACAATACGCGCTCATGCTATACAAGCACCGTGTGCCAGGGACTGTGCCCCATGGCGGAGATGCCAAAGTGAAGAAGGTGCCGTCCTCACCTTGAAGGATTTCACTACTGACTGGGGAGACAAATGTGTAAACAGCTGCCCGTGTCACAGGGCGATAATTCTGTAATAGTACTCTGCACCAAGTATCTTAGAAGCACAGGAGAGTGATTAATTCTGCCCAGAGAAGGGAGAAGGGGAAGGGGAAGGGGCTTCACAGCAAAGTGTATTTTTAGTTAGACATGAAGGACAAATGCATCTGATCCCTTTGCCCACATCTAGCCCTTCACGTACGTGAATACAACTGTCGTGTGCCCTGGGTGAGTTTCCGCCACGTAGAATTAAATGTCACCATTGCTCTTGAGAACATATGACGAAGATGAATACCGGAAACAAATCCCCGTATCATGGAAATGCTTTATGTACCGGTCCTTATTTTCAAAGTATATATTCACGCTTGTCAACATCAACCTGTAAGCAATCGCGAGAGAGCTGGACAATGTATAACAGCCAGCTTATTCTAAACTACCATTAAGAACAAATGTGCAAGCTAAAGCGACTCTCCACCAAGTGCCCCAAACGGATTATTTAGTCATCTTTCCTGTAAGCCAGAGGTCAGAAGGTGTGTGTGTGTGTGTGTGTGTGTGTGTGTGTGTGTGTGTTTCCTGTAAAAAACCAGATAATAAATATTTTATACTTTTAGGCCATGTGGTCTCTGGACCAACTATTCGGCTCTGCCCTTGTAGTGTGAAAACAGATGTAGACAATATGTAAATGCCTGGGCATGGTAGAGTTCCAATAAAACTTTATTTACAAAACAGGCAGTGGGCCACCTGTGACCCACAGGCCATGGTCTGCTGACTCCCGCTCAAGGCCGTCTTTCTTTCTGAGCCTCCGTCCTCTTCACTGTATGGTGGAAAGAACATTAGACTTGGAATCAGGAGAACTGGCTCTTAATTCTACCTTGCTAAAAACCAGCTGCATGATCTTAGGCAAACTGCTTCACCAACCTGGCATCTGTTTCTCATATCAAATCAAGCACCTTTAGATTTTATAATCAATAATGTCCCTTAAAATCCAAAGGATCACTGCAAAGTAACTCTGTTGCTCCTAAGACTCTTGATTCATTCCATCAGGGAATAAACAGACTGACAAAAAATAAACACGACTTTAGATGATGCCGACGGAAATGTCCACCTCAAATAAATATATTTCAAATCTGTTCCACTTGGCAAAAACGAAGTTCAAGTCTGAGTAAAACAGTAATAAGACTGTCCAGGGGAAAGCAACCAGGTTCCTAAAAAGTTCTGGAAAGTCCTGGCAAATGAGACATGCTTCGAAGAATTAGGCAGAGTGGAAAGCGAAATCTAGTAGGCATAATACTACTTTTTTAAGTGTCTGGAATCAGACAAAGATTAGAACCTAAATGAAACATTCCAGGTTAAAATGACATTTGTGAGTCGTGGGTTCTGACCAGTTACAAACACCATGCCTTCTGAATCCCTGTGGTATCTTAATTCTGCAAACTGATTGCTAATGGCAATGGCAAAGAAACATCCCTGCTCTCACGTCGGTCTAGCTATTTAGAGGCTCTATCCTTGCGTATTACATCGTCTGAGCTTTCTAGCCCTATGAGATTGGCAACAAATATATAGCATAGCCTTTTCCACCAGTAAGAAAGCAGACATTCGAAAGGATTATTCCCTACCTAGAAGATTCATGACTTAAAATCATAAAAAGGGGAGGAGCTAAAGCCAAGCGCACAAATCAGCTTAGAAAACGTAGCCTGAACACCGAAAACAAGACGCTGCCAAATGTTTTGCAGAGCATCACCTCCTTTATATTCTGGGGAGAGGGGCGGTTGGGGGAGTGGGATTTAGCATCTTAACAGCTTCAAAGCGCCCTGAACTTGGAAATGGCTGCCTAGCGTTTTGATTTCACTGTTAGTGTTCGACTTACCTAGTTTTTCTGCTAAGTGCTTCAAGCGAATGTAAATGCTTTATGAAGACAGCTCATCAAATGCACCAGGGGACAGGGGGCAGCCTATATTAAAATAACCTCAACTGAGGGGATTAGAAAAGCAAAAGATATTCCTTTCTATTCGATTAGCCTCATAGATAAAAGCCGTATTCTTCTAAAAAGAAAATACAAGCAGCTGTGAATAATTCAAATCACTAAATGGCATGAATGGATTAATATGTTAATGTTATACTTGCCTTTTATCCAGACACAACTTTGAACATAATAAATTTGGTTTTAGAACTAAAATCCTCAAAATTCTGAGGTTTTTTTTTTTTTTTTTAAATATGTATAATTAAATTCATCTTTGAAGGATCCTGAAGGTTGTTCAGGGCAGAAGGACTGTATTTTTATTCAAATGACTCCAGCAGTGGGAGGCCTCCACAGAAAACTACAAAGAGTGTTGAAAAAGCGGCAATGCAGAAGCGGATAAATGCAGAAGCGGATAGATTTACCCAGAGAAAGACCGCGCTGGGTGAGGGAATCCGCATCCTTCAGCCCGGTCTCCTGCACATGCACCGGCGCAGACCCGGGTACGCTCGCCCTTCCCTCTGCCTCGCCCTCCAGTTTCTCACGGAATAAGTCAGATTATCACTAACATCCCAGGTTACCTTGTGCGAGGAAAAGGTGGAAAAGGAACAACTAGTGGTGCCCTTGGCCAGGACAAAGGTACATCCCGCTCGTGTTGACCAAGGTGAGGGAATTCAGGCACTGACAGTGTGCACGTGAGTCTCAAGACTTTTCTAGAAACAGAGTGCGCGGCCTCACTTTCTGTGGACCTCCTCTTTGGCGGAGCTCAAGCTCTCCAAAGGCGGCGGCCAGAGAGGCAGCGTGCAGGTCAAAGGTGCCTCTTTCCTGGGGGTTCATGTCTAAACCCGCCGATAAGGCAAAATGGCCTGGACCCTGAAAATCCCTTACATTGCCCTAAAGCACAGCAGGCATGGTTTCTGTATACGACCCTGTAATTCCACATTAAAATAATGCACTCGGTAGCATATAGTTCATAATACAGAAGGCTACTTTGTGGAACCCACCAGCAGGCTCGCTCAGGTGTGTGCTGGATTCATTCCATGCCCCAGGAGGGTTTAAGTCCCACACCTTTGCTGGCTATAGGCCAGGGGTCCTTCAGAGCTTCTAGAAGCCACCCACCTTCTGGGGCACCTGACCCCCTTTCTCCATCACTTGGAGCCAGCAACAGGGGGTCGAACCCTTCTCATGCTTGAAAACTCCCTCTGTCCCCTTCGTCACTGTGCCTCTCTCTGGCTGACTCGCAAGCCCTCCTCCTCTGATTTGAAAGACTCGTGATTATCCAGGCTCCTTGCCCTATAGTAAGGCTGGCTGATAATTACTCTTAATTATATCTTCAAAGTCCTTTCGTAGGTGACTGTTGATTGACAGGAGGATGGAAGCTTGGGAAGACCCCTTCAGTGTTCTGCCTACCGCACCTTACTGACATTCCATTCTTGGTCTCTCAAATCTACTTCCCGTGTCCCCTAAAATATATTGCACATCTCGCCAAGTCACAGGTGGCCTAGTTGGTAGGAATCAAATGAAAACACATCAGCGAGGACTACTATGAGACACTAGAAATATCTGAATACAATTATAAAGAGTTGCAATAGCCAAGTATAAAAATAAGCACGCACCAAAGGAAGAACGCTCTGACCTGACCAAAATACTAGAGCAAAAGAGCCTGCAGAAGCCTCATTTGTTCTCCAGACATTTGGGGTCACTGGTTTATTGAGAGGTGCCCAGGTGTTATTCTTGCTAAGCGAAGTCTAAAGAACTTCGTGCTTTGAAACAAACAGCGCTTTGAGACTGTTAGAGGCCTACGCGGAGGTCCTTAATTGAATCTAAAGATCCCAGCTGGCTTTCGAGAACCTTGCTTCCTAACAGACTGACTTCAAAACCACCCCGTCTTTCTGATTTTAGCCAGCATTTGCACCATACTTTATCCTGGCATATTCATGGGTTGTGTTAAATAACATCTGAGCAAAGTCAGCCATCATTGAATTCAGGGATTCCTAGTGGCTAACACATCCCTTTCCTGTCACCAGTGGTCAGAGGTTTTGCCTCTCTGAATTGTTTCACAGACTAAGAGGAGCCGGCTGGTGACATGTTTTGTAGCTTCATTTGGTCTGGTGGCCATTGGTCAGCTCAGAACACTGTGAAACCCAAGCCCTGTGCTTTGTACCTCCCTCGAAGTCACCCAAGACTGAATTTACATCACGTGGCCTGGCAGCCAACCCGGGACAGGTATGTCACAGACACGGGACAGCGATAATGGTAAGAAGTTTGTTTTTCCACAGGTACCACCAAACGACTTCGAATTCTTCACTGTGATTATAGAGCCCAGAAATGACTGAACAGTAAGAAATTGGGGGTGGGGAGGAATTCAGTTTATCCCAAACGTTTAAATGACACGGAGATGACTTTCTGCGTGTTCGTTTGTTCTGGACTTGAGAAGCTGACTTCAGGGAACCAGGCCAGTAGGAGAATGGAGGAGACTTTTCTGTTCCTTCAAGTTCATGTCCTCTTTTCCTCGGGGACTCTACAGATGGCGTGTGTGCCCTGCCTCTCCCACTACCCCCCACCTCACACACAAGATGTAATCGACACACCCTGAATGGCACTGCTGCTTGTTTAACTCGAGGACATGAGAAAGTTCTTTGCATTGCTAGCTCCCAATCACAAAAGATATTTCCTCCAAAACAAGAAAAAGTGGACCTCTTGGAAGTACCCTTAACCTAGGGCATCCTTAGACCATTTGAGGCATGGCTGATTTCTAGAGACTTCACAGTGTATTCACTAAGGCAAAATAATAACGTTAAATCTTCAGGTTTTTTTTTTTTTTCATAACTTCAGTATTGGAAAGACCCTTTCAAGCAATTGCCATTTTTGTGCGTTTTCAATCAAATGACGTATACATTTATCTATAGTACTTTATGTCACAGAATGCCGAATAGAGACCCCCGTGAGAAACTTCTGGATTTCACTTTCAGCTCAGGAGTTGCTGCTACTTGAAGTCTACTGCCGTCCAGGGCGCTCTGGTTTCACTTGGCCAGCAAAGATTTTATTTCAGGTGGGTCTTAGTTTGAATTCTTTGGATGGACAAACAAAAGCTGAGCCACTCCCTCTGATTCTCGCCCAGCCTCTTCGCTCATTTGTTACCAGCTTGGGCCCCCTGAGGGTCCCCGAGATGAATATGAAAGCTCTCTTCAACTAAACAATAAGAATTAGATGAATGAAAACAATTTTTCTCCTTTGCTGTGGTTGTCAGTAACTCGAGAATCAGTTTAGTGCTCGTGTACATTAACGACTCCATTTGAAGTAGCTGCTTCTTTCTCCTTATAAATTTTTCACTGTTCTGAGTTTATTTCAAATGTTCTAGGGTTTTTGTTTGTTTGTTTTTTACTGTAATTTACTTTTAAAACTTCTTCAAATCTGCTTTATAAATAATAGATAAATCTTAATTGTATCTTTAACATAGGGGCTTCCACAGAAACATACCAGACGCGGTCACCTGTGTGGCAGGTGCAATTTACTACAGCCCCTCCCCATCCTAGCACAGCAGTCTGTCATTTAAGAAATGGCTACGAGGCGTAGCTCAGGATTTGGCCACCATGTTAATCCAAAGAAGTTAAGAGGGGCTTCAGCCTGCACGCACATTACATACTACAGATGTCCAGAACATGCCACGTCAAAAATATGCTACTTTGGCACATTGATTTTTTTGAGCTGACGGCACTTAAGAGAACAGGTGTAGGGAGGTCTCTCTGACCTCCAGCTTTCTACCTAAAAGCAGGTCATAAAGTTTTCCAAGAGAGAGGGGCCCTCCTTTCAATAGGAAGAGAAGAACATTCTTATCACTGGACACTGGAAACGGTCAGCAAAAGGTGTCTAACAGACAAAGCTACTAAAATAACCCTTATCTTCCATTAGTTTCCCCATAAATGTACCAGTCGATTTCCTACAATTTACAGCCCCTGATCCCAACTCCTTGGCCATGTCACTTCTCCACAAATTTATCATTCTTTGTTAAAAACATATATAAGCCTTGGGTTCTGTTTCTTTGGGTCTTTATTTTCCTTATGAGGACTCTCACCTGCCCATAAAAGATTGCATACACTTTTCTCTTGATAATTTGTCTTATGTTTGTTTAATTTTCAGGCCCAGACATAGAACCTAAGAGGGTAGAAGGTCGATTTTCCTCTTCTGCAATACACATACAAATCTGCTCAAATCCAGAAGTGTCCAATCGTTGTTCTAGCAACTGATCACAAGGGAGACTGATAACAGAGTGGCAGGCGGCCGACCACCTGGAGGAAGAAAGCTTTGTCTTCCTTCCTCCACCTGTCTCACCGTGTACCATCTTAGAACAAATAACTACATTTTTATGTTTATAGCTTCTGTAGTTTAGTATTTATTATAAAGTCAAACACTTAGCTCTGAGCTCCAGCCAGGCGGAAGAAGAGAAAATTATAGCATGTGACAGTACAGGGTATGAAAGTTGACTAGAGTTGGTTGCCTCTTGCTGCAAAGAGAAATTGGAGGGATTGATAAAAACTTAACAGAAAGCACTAGAGCAATGGACCGCAGTCAGCAGTGGTATCTTCTCAGAGATCCTGACTTCATGAAGCAAAGAAAGACCTCGTTTCATGATACAGGTGCCTCTGTGCCCTGCCAGAAGGTCACATGCTTACCAGTCAGTCTCAGAAGAACAGGTTAGAGATAAACATTGAGAGCCACCTGTAGGGCTGGGCTTCAGGAGGAGCATTCACCTGGAAACTTCCTTCTGAACACGGACTTGTCATCTGTGCCACCTGGGCTCACAGTGTTACCATAAGAGCACCTCCAGAAGAAATAAGCGTGTAAAACAGGTAACGAAATCTCTTCTGGTGCTCGGAGTAGAAACAAAACAGAACAAACCCTTGTTCCGAAAGGCTTAAGCGGGATATGGCTCAGGGACCCACTTTAAGGGATGATGTGAAGGAACGTGGCTGGAAGGGAGGCGGGATGGCTCTCTGTCATCTTGTGCTGAGGAATGAAGCTGTTTCCTCCTGAGACCAGAGGTCTGATCCACCCACCCAATACGCGGGATGGCAGAGCTTTTTATAGACTCAGAAATGTGTGTCCTCAGAAATCTTAGATTCTCAGAGACTCTTAGAAAGCCGTTAGGAAGTAAGTGTCCCTGGCTCATCATCAACCTGTTATCCCCAATCATCTAGAGAGTCCTGGGAACAAGGACAATCAAAAACCAGAGAAAACGACCAGGGGAAGCAGAGCTGGGAAAATTAAGCTATTTGGTTATGAACTTCAAATGATTTCTCCTAACAGACTTGCCTTTGTTCCTTAAGGTAGTTTTGTGTTAAACTTGGTAGCTGTGATTTTTTTCTTTGTGAATTTAAGCGGGTAGAAATGAGATGCATTACTTTTACGTTTATGAAAGTATATTCAATAAATGCTAAATAATAGATTAGAAATCTTTCAATAATCCCGGTTATTATTCTTATTGTCTTTTTTTTCGCTTGTTCTTCTCATTGAACAAATCTTTCCTCAAATGCATCATGCTAGGGGGTTACCGTTCACCCTGATGGGTCACTGAGTTTGTAGAGCGTGGTGTATGCTGAACTGAACATCGTAATTACACTTACACCCAGGGCAACAGCCAATTTTCACTCTCATTTATAGCTGGGAGCACCTACAGATGACATATATTAATGAATTACAGATCCTGTGGTGAGTTAATAGGATAGCAAATCCCAGTCAACATCGCATAAATTGGGGTGGGGAGAAGCTAGCTCTTTGGAAACATATGACCCAATGGGCTGGGATTCCTCTAGAAGCAGTTAAGAAATGATAAGGGTGAATTACTATAAGTCCCTGTATTCTCATTGTTTTGTCAGACTACTCAAGTCATAGGTTCCAGCTGGCTGTGTCCCAGAATTTCTCTGAGGGGAAGACCTGAATCTGCGAGTATTATTGTAGCTTAGGGAGTGGGAAGTTACATGTATTAACACACATGGCAAAATCCTCTCATGCATCATCAATTATTAAAGAATCCCTTTAAAAACCTCTGTCACCCCAGGTGATTTGATTTCCTATGAACCCTCCATCCTTGAGAGCTATCAGATGTCCTCGTTCACGTAACTGACGTAACGCCACCACCACGATGGCTGCATTCCTCAGACGTCGGGCCCGTGTTAGTTCCACAACCTTTTTCAGTGCTTTTGCTTGACCCTGATTTAAGCCATCTCCATATATGAGATCGAGACTTAAAAGTAAATTAGGAGACGATGAGTCACATAATAAAAGGATTCTTTTGTTCAGTGAAGGACAGATCTCGGGATATCTTTAAATAACTAATTCTGTTAGTTAACTTGCAAAATTATGCTATTTATGCACATTAGTTATACACAGACATCAAATGAAACATCAAGTGAACAAACTGATATTCATTAGAATTGTAAACAATACTTGCTAATCAAGAAAAAGAAATTTATTACACAAATCCAGGCTGTGCTGAAAAGCTGTTGAAACATTTAAAGACTTCATCATTGTCCCCCTCATCAACTGAACACCTACTAAGCTTAATGTCTGCTGCTTGCATATACATATGCCTCTGTTCTCTGTGCTCATGGATGCATCATATTCTTCGACGGCGTATAACGTCTCTGCTTTTGTTCGGGTTTAGCCAACAGCAGACCAATGAAAAGCAATGAGAAGCCATCAGAGAACGAGGCTCCCTTTCTGCTGGGCTCCAGCCTCACAGTACCCCGAATCCCCTGAATGCCACATCTCTTGACAGCAGTTCTCACCAGCTGCGACCTCAGCCGAGGCTCTTTCAGGTAGGTGAGCCTTCTCCGTCCCTGACCTTCAGACTGAGGAGTGGGTAATAGCTCCCTGCTATTGCCAGCCCCAGGGTGCTTCGCCAGCCTTTTTGTGCCCCCTGATCCCCATTCATATCTTAACGGTCCCCTTGTTAAACCCTCCACAGTGAACGTCGGCTGAGTGCTCCATTTATTTCCTCACGGGGGTCCCGACCCGTACGTACAAATGCAAAGAATCTATTAAGGACTCTATAACACATAAAAATAAATTAGAAATGGATTCGCTCTCGAACAGTTTACAACCTGGTATAGGAGATAACTGTGATTCATCTGATATCGCTGGTTAAGCTCTGCTTAGATAAAATTGAGAAGGTGGTAGTATTGTCACATTAATATGGCGGGGGGAAGGCAGAAAATCCCATGGGATAACTTGTTATTTATATACTGGCTTGAAATCATTTAAATATACATGTAATAGAATAAAATTATATTTAGAAACATTTTAATAAGACTTTAAAATGTCTATCTTACTATAATTTGTATATATGCAATATGATATTCGAAAGGGCAATTAAAGTTATGCGCCCTTGCCTCAAATGATTATTTCCTATACATACTTGTTCTATGAAAAACTTCTTGTTTATTTTCTATATAATATCGTCCTTTAAAAAAACTTCTGCATACCAGCCCATATGCTAAAACTATCTAACAATGTTTATCTAATTCAAAGATCTATTTGATAAACTGGAAAAAAACCAGCTCTTTTATATTTATAGTTAGCCCTAGTGGTATATCAGATGAATTAACAAGTGTATAACACACATTTAATTGAACACTTACTCCAAAAAATTTAATTGACATTTATACTTTGTCAATATGTGAACAACCGATGAGCTAATACAAAAAGGAGATAACTCTTATCCTTAAAATGTATAATGGCAAATCTATGCATGAAAATTAATGATAGTTAATTACAAAGTAAGACCATTTTCTCTATAGGTATTTATTTTTAGATAACTAGTAAAGCTAATCTAGAATCATTTAGCCTAATTAGAAATTAGACAAATATTCCCACATGCATATGTTCATGCTTGCTTACAGCTTCCTGGCTTTCTTTTATTATAATAGATTTGTCATCCACACTGCATTTCAAATCAAATTTTACATGACTTCAATAGATAGATATATTATGGAATTAACAAATATTGACGTACTATTGCTCGAAGTCTTCTTTTAAGAACTGCCTTGGAGGGGAAAACTAATTTTTTTAGGTAAGAGCTACTGAGTACAAGTTGGACTATATCTGGACTGGCAAACAAAAGGTGCTTAAGCATTTGCCGAAGTAACTGTAAAAAACAATGAGTACATTATCAAATTGTCTGAGTACAGATGTAAGATTTAAAAATTCGCTTCTGTCCCAATGGCCTGGTTATCAAAAGGGTACAAACATAAATACGTCTTACTTAAAATAAAGGCTGGGTCAATAAATCTCAGCTTCGTAATGTGCACTCAAAACCTCAAGTGATACGTCAGCAGTGCAGACAGACAGCGAAGCACTTAGCGTGACGGCTGTCCGCTGTCAAATGGGGCAAGAACACATTAAATAAGCTTATCAATCTCAGATACAAAAGGATTACCATTTCGAACGTATGCACGATCGCTTATGCAAAACAGACCCAATAGCTTCCCCAAGAATTTTCTTACTATTTGGGGATTTATTTTTCCCTTGGACTTTTGAATCTGATGAACAGAGAGAAGAGGAAGAAAATATGTCGATAATTTATTTCTGTTTATTTGGCTAGAACAGCAGATCATGAAACACTTACTGAACATAATTAGTTTCTCTGCACTGTGATTCCGAATCTCTCTGGACGCAGGGCCGGCTGACCAGATGGTCCACCTGACCACGATGGCTTTGAAATGGAGGCTCGAGTTCAGGTCCATGGGACTACAGAGGCAGATTGCAAGTGGAGGTGATCAAATCAGCTCGGAGGGCCTGGGGCTGGCAAGTTCTGCTGTGCTCTCCCGCCAAAGCCCGAACCAAATGCAGCCTCCTCGCGCCCCAGCTCTGTCTGAGTATGCGGCTGCCTCTTGTGCCTTTAACCTTGGGTGGGGAAGGGGCCGATTTCAAGAGGTCGGAGGCACAAAAGAGGCAATGAAGAAGGGAAGAGAAATCAGTCTCCAAAATACCCATAAGCTGTTATTCCAAGAAAACGGTACATGGGCATTTGCAGAAAAAATAGGCCATTCCTCTAAACCACCCTGATACAAAGGTGTTTTCTTAGAGACCTTCCTGTGCTCTTAATTAATGAGACTGGTTGGTTACCAATCTGCCTTATGACTAAGTCTGACAGAGCTTAATGGAAGAGAAGCTTAATTGCAGAAAAGCAATGGAAGAAATTCATTACAGAAGTCTTGAAACCTGAAAATTATGGGCAAAGCAGGCTACCCAAATGGAAATTGAGCAATTTAAGATGCCTTAATTAGATTTAAAACCAGGGCTTAGAAAAAACCGAATTAGCTCTATCAAATCAGATTAAAAAAAAAATCTAAGATAAAATGCATGGTTATTATTGGATTACTCAAGATAGTGTATATAGCATCGTGCTGGTGATTCTAAAAGTCAGCCTTCTGAGGGGCAAGTACAACAAAAAGACATAGAAGATGGTGAGTACGAACCTTAAATAGTATCACATTTATTCCTAACCCTACAGGAAAGGTTTTAAGAAGATGTTTTAATAACCACCCCCTGGCAAAATATTTTAGAGATCATCCAAAACAAATCAGCAAAGAAAAGCTTAGTTTTGTCTTTGTTGGAGGAAAAGAAAAAGAAGAAGAAACAAACTCAAATTGCCAATTTATTATTCATTGGAGACCTTGAAATTTACACAAAACTGCTGTGATTCAAACGTGATAACAGCACAGGTGTGGAGGGAGCAGGCAGTCAACAGAATATGACATTTACTAGGTAAGTATAGGGCATTCGGGTTAAAAATAAAGGGAAAGTAGAAAAAGAAAAAAAACATCTACAGTAACTATCATCCTAAAGCCTGTCACTCATTCACATTTATTGGGCAAATAAGTCTCAGGTACCATGACGAGAAGGTATCTTAGAACAAAATATACATCATGGAAAATAAAGGCTGGTAAGCAGGCTAGACCTCAAACAACAGTAGCGGCAAAACACAGATCAGTGCGAATTACACATCGAAATAAGCACTGTCGAATGTACAAAACCACCTGTGTGAGTTGATACTAGGGAAATGTGATTTGGATAAGGGCCCTGCTGAAGAGGAAAGGTGAGAACTGAAGGTGGAGGAAAGAACAGATGACCAGGGCCAGGGGAAGACCGTCCCAGATGGAGGAGGCCCTGAGCATCTCGGCCGGAGAGGTGACCAGGTGGCTGAGGCAAGCGACATGGGGGGCCATGGGGGGAGGGGAGGAGAGACGAGCCTGGAGAAGGAGGACGGGGCTACGGGCCAATAAAAAATTGTGGATTTCGTATCAAGATTATGACCTGAGTGAAGCATGGAGCCTTTGCATGGGTTTAAGCAGAAGAGTGCCATGATCAGA